AATCTAGCACGATTTCACACCAAATGCCATCCATTGTAATTTGCAGGCGCAGTAACGTTATTTTTATTCCTATGTATGGCAGCTATGCCAGGCCAACGCTTGTCAGTGTCTGCAATCTAGCTCACCAATTTCCATGCTTCCCATCTCATTTTCCTCTCATTCTAAAATCCTCCTCATATCTCTAAAAACTGCAAAACCGTTTCTGCACTTCTTCCACTAAATATCTTGCATGCTTCCTAATTCCTATGGTTTCCTGATTCCACTGCTCATCTCCACTAACTCCCGCCTCCCATCCAAATCTCGCTCATCGACGTCCTTCACATCGCGGAGGGCGCAGAGGGAGGTGGTGCGGGCGGGAATCATGACAGGCTGGTGGCCTTTTGCCTGCGAACTCTGGGGGATCATACTCCGCTTCTTCCGTAGCTGCTGCTGGTTCTTCCGGGGCTGCTGCGGCTGCTGCTGCTGCTGCTACCGGTGCTGCTGATGCCGCCAGTGCCATTGATGCTGCTGCTGCTACAACCAGTCTGACTCATGTGGACCAAGCCAAGCCACAGCAGCAGCAGGCCCTCATGGCGGAATGCCTTGCGCCAGCTGCTAGCGAGGCATTGCGCCACGTGGCGCATGCACTGCTGGTTGGAACAGAAGCAGCAGCCCGTTCCCTGCCATGTCTGTATCAATTCCGGTGCTAGGTGGTGAGAGCAGAAGTGATGGTCATAGGGGGCATGCTGATTATAGCAAACATGGTGGTGGTAGGCAGCAGGGGAGGAACCGTTAGAGCGGTTAGAGCGGATTGGAGCAGTTGGCAATGGCCCTTGCGTATCTGAGGGATAGAGTTGGTGTTCCAAGGGATTTGAGTTATTTAGCTGCAAGGCAGCTGCGTGCTCGCCTTCAGTGGGTCATTCGGTGTTTCAATGGTACATGTTCAGGCAGTTGACATAGGGTGCATTTTCCTAGTATTTGTGTGGTTCTACTTACAAAACCGCTCACAGTACCACCACCTATCGAGTTACAGAAGCAAGGCAAACCTACCTTGCGTCATTCCATTCACAGCATTTCCGCTTTGCCAAATCTGTCCTCAGCACAGCACACTCAGTCGCCGTACCGTAATGCCATTATGTGCATCGCATGAGCCATCCAGCAGACATCGTTGCCATCCTTAGCTTGCCAACAGCGGCAATGTGTTTCTCTGGGTGCTGGTTCGGATCAGCTTACTAGGTTTATACACGTTCTATGAGCTCTGGGGTACGGCGCACCATTAACGAATGCAAAGATGGCTTGCGGTGCCACGAAACGCTGGAATGTCTGAGGCGGATTTTCTCGGGCTTCTCAAAGTCGGATCACAATGCTCCGAGGATGATCATGTTGCTAGGAGTTGCTGCTTTGTCCTTCCAAGTCCTTACGACGTCGTCTATTGCGACCGCGGTCGCACACATCACACACTTTACACAGCCCTTGTTTGAACCGGTTATTCTCCCCTTTGAGGCCAGAGGAGCTGCTCCACTTCAAGGTCACACCGCTGTTGAGTTTGAAGCTCTATTCAAAAAGTAAAAATCGCCAAGCCGGACACCGTGTTTGATTTCATTATGTTTATGGTGGGGCTCCTGATTTTGCTCAAGATCCTCGCTCGTCAGCTTGAAGAACCATCGACGTTCCCACGGAGCAGCTATGCACCCCCATTCACTGCATACGAAGAACCGCCCATTCCGCAGCCTTCTGTTGCTATATTCTGGGACTACGAAAACTGTCAGATTTATAGTGGCGTCGATACGGCGAGGGTCGTTGCTGCTCTCCGTCGTGTGGGGTCAGCATTAGGATCAATTCTCGTGTTTACTGCCTATGGGAAGGCTGCGCAAGCGGCCTCGCGTGAGAACGATCTGCTAAGATGTGGCGTTAGTGTGAGAACGGTTCTGGCAGGAAAGAACGTGGCGGACATTGAGATCCGCAACGATGCTGCGCGCCTTGCCTGGGGACACCAGGGGTACGCATTGGCTTTACTTGCTGCCATGTCATTTTGCCTCCCAATCGTTGCCCACACACGTTTATTTTGGTCCTAGTAGGCCTAACATTGCCAAACCATGCCGATTGTTGCTTCAACCAAATGATTTCACAAGGGCAACGGTGGTGCTCATTTCCGGCGATGCCGGATTGTGCCCTCTCATCAGGGACCTTCAGCGCCAGAATGTGCGAGTGATCGCAATTGCAAGGCGACCACATGGTTACTATGGTGGACCAGCATTGCTCCCAGCCACAATGGAAATAGCTGATGCTGGTTATGACTGGGACATGATATGTCCACCTGATTGCTGGCGCGATGTATGACTGCCTGATTGCTGGGTTTAGGGTTTTCACTCATCGCATGCTTCTTGTTTGCGCTAGCATGGCGCCTAATCTAATCGCAGTGTTATGGAAAGCATCTTACCCCCCAAGTTGAAGGGTGCACCCAGGGCGACGTCAGGTTGTACAACTTTTTGTACGCCCACTGCGGTTAACTTCGTTTCAACACGGTGCAGAGAGGTCAACGTCGAGAACCGCTTTCCACCGTGTTTGACCGTCCTGAATCACGATACAAGAACTGCAAACCCATGAGAAATGTATAACCCGACTGGTGTGAGAAACCCACATTCAGCCATGGCTGGTCAGAACGACTGGGCTGGGGTGATATGGTCAGCTTCATCTCTCACTGAAGTATAAGATGCAGTGCGGTGGATTGCGGTGCAGAATCGACTTTCGACCTCCTTTGCGGAGAGTTGGGGCTTGCAGTGGTTGTGGATGATGCGATTGAAGTCCGAATTGCTTTGTACCGCGCCGTATCTATATAAACCGTATCGAAACGCTTTAGTGCCAGCGAGAACAAACCACAAAATTCAAATCGGACAGTCCGTTTCGATATAAACGATTCGATATAGTCGGACGGTACGTCAAAATCTAGAAATGCAAAATGGTTACGCGCCCTTAGCAAATGTTTTTTGTGCCGCTTGGCACATGTGTGCAAGTTCCTACCGTGACGTCGCTGACTCCTGTCCACTCCTGTCCCGAGCACCTACGCATCAAGTTCCTATTGTGACGTCGCTGACTCTGACATTCATGACGTGTCACTTTCTCCTCGTCCGTTTGCACCCTTCCCCCAACCGTGACGTGTCGCTTTGCGGTGCATGGCGCTCGCTGAAATGTCTGTCAGGCGGGATGAGATCCGCGCGGGGACGTGCCGTGAGTCAAAACAGCATCCAGGACCGAGTGCGCGGGGTGCGCGGCACGGTAGCGCCGTCAGGCAGGGCGCAGGGACGCCCTCCGGATCTCCGGCACAAGCGCTTTCGCTCGAGAAGGGCCGCCTGAGCGCGAGTAGTTACTGCGATGTGATTATGCACGGCCTTCCACTAGCATCATCTGAATAGCCGCCCTTCAAAGCTCAGGATGCCGGGTAATTTGACTTCGAAGAATTATCAGAAGCGAATCTTTTCGTGACATTTGTTACTTCCGTTCAACTCTTTTACGTACGGATAGCTTAGCCAGTCGATGATTCACGCCAATAGTGCCATTCGTGCGTGTAACTTTACGTTACGGACCTTCTTGCTGAAGGCGAACGAGTCGCTTGGCGCTCTTCTTGGGCCGCTGCTCTCACGCGGCGAAGGTTGCAGAGCGGCGCAACCGGACAGACCGCATGAGGTAGGGATGAGACCTCACTGTCGGTATTTACCGTTAGTTCGTAGATGATAACACCTCACTACCCACTGGGTCAAAACGAGGGTGTTATTTGGCGCAGCGGAATGCCCATTAACACTGCCCGCAGGCGTTACATAGATAGGGACGAGTTTCCCAATCCGTGTCTGACACGTTGCTACTCCTGATCCTCTCGTGTCTCTTCCCTTCCACTTCCGTGTCTAACACCTTCGCTCTCTCCCGCACGTGGCCTAGCCTTGCGCCACCTGATCCTCCAGAGAGGATTGCTCTCTCCCCGCACATGCCCCTTCCCCCCGACCCGATACCCCTCAGGACTGCTCTCTCCGCGTGGCTGACGAGCAGCACAGCGCCGCCGAATGGCCAGGCTGGCAGTTCCAGTCGCTTCCACCCAGCTAATAACGAGGACGGCTCGCCAGCTGTGTCAGTGTCGTGGGAGGACTGGCAGCGCGCGTACGAACAGGCGCGGGGGGCTGAAGGGCGCGCGGAGGGCAGGAAAGGGGAGGAACATGGGAAAGGCGTGCCAGGTAGACAGCAGCAGGAGGCGTTTGCGAAAGGCGTGGGGGTTGGAAGCAGCAGAGGCGAGCAGAACAAAGGCAGCGACAACGGCAGTGGGCGAGGGGAGGGCTGGCAGCGCGCGTACGATCATGAACATGTGAAAGGCGTGGAGGGCAGAAGGCAGGAGGGGCATGGGCAGGGCGCGGAGCAGGGCGTGGGGCAGGGCGTGGGGCAGGGTAGCGGGGGAAGGGACGGGTGGGGGTGGGTGCGGGGGGTAGCAGCACGGCATGGGGAGGGTGGAGGAGGGGAGGGGCAGGCGCAGTGGGGGACTGTTGTGCAGGTGGGGGGAAAAGGGCGAGACATGGGTAATATGCAGCCGCAGGGGGAAGGGCATGGTGCCGGGTGTGAGGGCGGGTGGGAGTGGCTTCCTCGCCCCTCTGCCCCGCCTGTGTGGGAGATGACTGGCGTTGTGGCGCAGCCTGTGTCTCAGCCAGTGGCTCCCGGTGCTGTGGCGGGTGCTGTGGCGCAGCCTGACGCCCGCAGTGCAGGCAGGGGCTACCAGGAAGCACGGGCAGGGTCAGGTGTTGAAGGCGGTGCAGAGCGGTGGAGACCTGGCTTGGGTACAGAAGGGGGTGCAGTTGGGGCTGAGAGGAGGAGAGGGGAAGGGAGTTGCAGTGACAGGAGGGAGTGGAGGTGTGAGGGATGCTGGAGGCGAGAGGAGGGGAGGAGGGATAGGCGTGGTGGAGGCGGTGGGGGTGGTGAGGGAGTGTGTGTCGCTGGACTGGGTCCCGGAGAGGCTTCTTGTGAAGTTCCAGCAGAGAGTGGGGATGTATCGACTCGGATTCAACTTTCAGGTAATCCAACATGAGTCCCTCTGTGCGTGCGTACATGCATGATTGTAAGTGCTGCATGATGCCCCGCCGTGTTTTTTGCTTCAGTGCATGCGTGCGTACTCCTGTTGCCACCCGCATATCATCCGTACCACCCCCTCCACTGTAACCATTTTTTTAGGTGTGTTATGGTGCGAAGCGGGCATAGCAAGCTTGCAGCACAAGCAAAATACCCGAGCAAGCGAAGCTTGGCAATATGCGATGTGACATTGTGCTCTGAAGCACACGATCGCCTTTCTACCCTTAAGGCCTGTGCTACAATCATAGCACCCCGTTGCCAGCCTCTCCCCTCCCCTTTTTCCCTCCCCTCCCTCCACTCCCACTCTCACTCCAACTTCCCCCTTACTCCTTTTTCGCTTCCCCATCTCCCCCACCCCCATCAGTTGCGCCATTCCCACCACGACCTTCCAGTCAACCCCTCTGGCCTCAATACCGAGTTCACTTAAGAATCTTTAAGAATGTCACCGACTTCCCCCTTGCTCCTCTTTTTCTCTCCCTATTCTTTCTGGTCCATCAGTTGCGCCATTCCCACCACGACCTTCCAGTCAACCCCTCTGGCCTCAATACCGAGTTCACTTAAGAATCTTTAAGAATGTCACCGACTTCCCCCTTGCTCCTCTTTTTCTCTCCCTATTCTTTCTGGTCCATCAGTTGCGCCATTCCCACCACGGCCTTCCAGTCAACCCCTCTGGCCTCAATACCGAGTTCACTTAAGAATCTTTAAGAATGTCACCGACTTCCCCCTTGCTCCTCTTTTTCTCTCCCTATTCTTCCTGGTCCATCAGTTGCGCCATTCCCACCACGGCCTTCCAGTCAACCCCTCTGGCCTCAATACCGAGTTCACTTAAGAATCTTTAAGAATGTCACCGACTTCCCCCTTGCTCCTCTTTTTCTCTCCCTATTCTTTCTGGTCCATCAGTTGCGCCATTCCCACCACGGCCTTCCAGTCAACCCCTCTGGCCTCAATACCGAGTTCACTTAAGAATCTTTAAGAATGTCACCGACTTCCCCCTTGCTCCTCTTTTTCTCTCCCTATTCTTTCTGGTCCATCAGTTGCGCCATTCCCACCACGGCCTTCCAGTCAACCCCTCTGCCCTCGCAACCCCGGCCTCTCTAGCCGCCCCTGCATTGCCCATCCACACTCTCACCAGCGCCAGAAGCTTGAGGCAGAGCCGCCCTCTTATATCCGTCGGTCCCTATCAGGTGAGTCTGTGTTGTTGCGATGCGGCATGGTGCAGTGGCACTGACTGTGGCGCAGTTTGGCGGGAATGTATGTAGATGCAATTGTTGCAGTGTCCTTTTCTTGATTTAAGACCCTTTTTTTTTTTTTGTTAATGCTCATCCGACCCACCAATGCCATGCATTTCCCTACACCTGCTTACCACTCTCGCATGCACGCTCATCTGCCATCGCACACAGGCCTACCCCGCAGACATCAAGGTGGTCATCAAGCCATCCCCTCCATCCCCTCCATCCAAAGCCGCCTCAAACCGTCCGGCACCCACCACTGCCAGCGCGGCTGCCAGGCTCGTGGGCATGGTGACTCGCATCGCCCGTGCAGCGGTGGGAGGGGGCAAGGTGCAGGTGATGCCTGTGGCGGGCACGGTGCAGGTGGCATCTGGACGGGTGGGCCTGCTGGGACTGGCTGATGCTCGGGTGAGGTCCATGGGTGGATGGATGGGTGTGTGCTGTTAATTGTGTGATGGGTGAGGTGCTTGTGCGAGGTGACTGGTTGGAAACGTGCTAGAAGTTGGTTCCAAGGTTTTGCTAATCTATCCATTTTTACGGACCGTCCTTCTTCCTGTTTCCCATCCCTCCCATCCACCTCCCTCCCACTTTCCGCCCTCTCTCCCAGCTGCACCTCTCCCACCACTGGCCATCCTCCACCTCGCACCTCCGCCTGCTCCTGCACAGCCCCTTCTCTGCTTCCCACACGTGCGCATGCCGGTGGAGCGGCACCCAACCCACACGGCTTACACGGCCACACAGCCATGCCAGCAGCTCTCAAGGCAGGGCGGGCCAAGCTGGGGTCACGGACAGTGAAGCCAGGGAAGGTGGCTTGTGGAGTGCTGAGAGGGGGGTGGTGGAGCAGCAGGGGGATGGGGCAGAAGGGAGTGGCAGTGGCATGGTGCAGGTGGCGAGGGCCAAGGCGTGTGTGCCCATGTGGCATGGCATGGACGTCAGACTCACAGGGTCTATGTGGTATTCCATGCCATGGTGCATCGGGTGAGTGAGTGGCATGAGCTTGTAGTGATTTGGGTGAGTGACATTATAGGCCATTGGGTGAGTGTTTCAATGGGCGAGTGGCATGGTGCATTGGGTGATGTCTGAGAACTCTCTGATGTGGAACATTGTGTGAATGTCATGATGCTTGAGTGGCATGAAGCATTCGCTGAGTTCAATGACTGGAATGATTGATGTAAAGGAGAATAGGGTTAACAGACTGGTTTTTTAACGTGTGGTTTTCATTTGCCATCCCATCCAGGACCTTTTCTCATTGGTTTGCCAGCTCTTCCATTGCTACTTCACTGGGATCCTTCCACATTGCGGTTGACAAGATTGAAGCCATTTTCTCTCTCTGCTGAAATAATTGGTTTCGAAATAGAAATTATGTACACATATTTTTTTTTCCGCGCATTTCTAAATTGAGTATTTTTTTCTGTACAATGCTAGAGTCTTCAGACAATATGAGGAGTTGAACATCAATTGTCTGCACAACTGCGAAAACCAAATTTACGCTTTTTAGGTGACCACATGTCAAATCGCCAGGTCTCTTGTACCGCGGAAAAGCATAGCGTACAGTGCTTCCAGGCTTCTACCGCCACAGCTTCGGTACGCGGCTTGGGTCATCTGGCCTCAAATCAATGCTTCGACCAGACAGCCAGATTCAACACCAGGCCCTCAGATTCACTTTGAGGGACGTAGATGGATCAGGGTCCCTCTGCATGAAATCCCTGATTGACAGTGTCCCCTAGAAAAAAAAAGCCTGAAAAATCAGTGTCACTAAAAAAAAAAAACCTGAAGCATCAGTGTTCCCTAAGAAAAAATGTTGTTTTTACTCAACTGCACGGCTGACTGCCTCCTGGTACACCAGGCAGGAACGCGAGGCAACCCCCCGCGGATGGAAAGCATGGAGCAGAATTTGTCTCGTAGTCACCGCCAGGCACTGCTGACACCGCGGGAATTTGAGATTCCCTGTAATTCCGGGCAACTACACTCGGAACGTGTAGGAATCGCATTCAGTCAGTTTCGGTACAACGTAGTGGAATCAGCGTCCTAAAACAAAAAAAAAAACCTGAAAGGTCAGAGTCATCTGGCAGGAAAAGGCTGAAAAATCAGCCCCACAAAAAGCTGAACACTGGAAAATCAGGGTAGGTACAAAAAAATTCCTGAAAATCAGGAATTTCAGGAAAAATTTCCTGATATCGTAGGGCCTGTTCAACACCATCGTCAGACATGTCGCCATACTGAACGCAAGGTCTGAGTATACCGCACTATTATTTGTGAGGATGTCTACGCTGGTCTAGCTGATAGATACCTCACTACGCTGGTCTAGCTGATAGATACCTCACTACGCTCGTCTAGCTGATAGATACCTCACTATTATTTGTGAGGATATACAAGGCCTAGGGTTTGTGAAAATAAACTACGGTCGGAGTTTCCAAGAAAGGGTTTCTGCTATCGCCCTACTGCATCGTGACGAAAACGTGATAGTCCATGTCTCCTGCTAGAAAACGAAGCAGATTGACAGATTCGTGTCTTGAGCAGGATGAAGGGATCTGCATCATCGATCTGGACAACATCACCCCTCATTCCCATGAAGTGGAATCACCAATTTCAGAATCTAACGTGGGAGTCTTTTGGGACATTGAAAATTGTGGTGTTCCAAGCAAATGCACCACAGGATTCGCTGCTCGTCGACTAAGATATCTTGGCGAATTGTACGGAAGAATCATTCAGTTCACGGCTTATGGGAAACAGGAAGTTATCGGCTCTCGTGCGTACGAGTTGCCAGCATGCGGTGTGGATTTTGTCAACGTTTCGTCAGGAAAGGATATGGCGGACAAGGCCATAATCCTGGACATAATGCGTTTCGCTTTTGACGTTGGACCTAACAAATCGCAAGTTGACGAGCAAGAGAGTCTTACAAGAAAACAGTCAAGATCCAGGTATGTTCTTTCTTAACCTCTCTTGCAAAGGGGTGCACTGACAGTCCGTTTTATCTCAGGTTATCTCGTTCATGCGTGGTCCTTATCACTGGTGACTCTGGCTTCGCTCCTCTTATATCCAGTCTCCTTGCCTCGGGTGTCAAAGTTGTCATAAGTACTAGACTGCCGGGACCATCGTCCTGCACGTCAAAGCCGCAATCTGTATCACTTTCTTTGCTAAATTCGGGAGCTGACATTCATGACTGGGGTCGGATAGTGCCGAACACGCCATATGAATCTGCATACCCCGCAGTCCCGTCCACAACAAGGCTCCCTTCGGCAGCCGTGGTTGTGAAACAGCCGGTCGTAAAGAAAAAAGCATTACCTGCCGATGTGTTACCGGCCCCAGCGAGTCAATCTATAACAAAGATTTCGTGGACTGATGTCAAGGAGCGTGCTCAGCACCATTTTTCAGACAAGGCTTTCACTTTAAGTGTTTTGAAGTACCAGGTGATGACTGTGCTTGCTGCTCATGGTACTCTCTGCATTGAGAAATTTCACCAGGCCTTTACCATTCTTATGGGCAAGTCCATTCAGCTAAAGGAGTATGGACTGAGACGCATGAGAGATCTTGGAGATGTTCTTCCTGGTGTGGTGCAGCTGAGTACGGCATGGTCACTGTTTGAGATGTCGAGGCACATTCCACGAAATGATGGACACAACTTTTCTCAGCATCAAAAGTTGTGCCTTGTCTCTTCAGCTCATAACCTAAGAATTCTTGGGCTCATCCAGTCAAGATTGCGGCTGCTTGTGTACAAAGAACTGGCAGCTCTCGTGGCAGAAAAGGGCAAGGATTGGATGCCTTTACAGATGCTTCAGTCAAGGGTAGAGCAAAGACTCGGCCAGCCTCTTGGTGCTGTTCTGACTGCGCATGGATATGGAGGTGAAGAGGAGATGCCGTTGGACTGGAGGTTCGTGGCAATGCTTCAGGATATGCCTGATGTTGTTCATGTGCAAGTGAACAACATGGAGAATTTGTATGTCTGGCCTACTTGTTGGACAGGGGGGGAGCAGCTGGTAAAAGCTTGGGCGTTTGAAAACCCAATGTGGGATGGGTCTGTGTATGTAGAGTGCTAGCAGCAAGCCCCATACGTGTAAACAGAACCACTTTGACTTCACCCAGCTATTTCATGCTTGTAGTCACTTTTCGCCTACCTGCGGTACTACCTTAGTAAAGGTGTAAAACAATTTGGCGCACTGTGGTGTGAGTTTCTGCCACCACCACATGTTTTGAAAGTAATTGGCTGTTCAAAAATCATGGTAACACAACCAGTATAACAGATTGCTTCTTTTGCAGGCTTTCCTCTATTTTAGGCCAGGTTTGATCTTCATCCACCTGCTCATGCCTTTCACAGAGTTGGTCAGAGGTGACCTTTCATCCCCCTCTATTCTACTCCTATCCATCCCTTCTCTATCTCTCCCTCTCTAGGCATTCCTCCGTTTCCCCCCTCCGTGTTTTCCCTCACTTCGCCCTTGCACCTCCCTCCCTTTTCCCTGTGTCCCCTCCCTTTTTCTCCCTGTTTCTCCTTCCCTTTCCCCATGCCCTTCCATCCGTCTCACCACTTGTCCCTCCCTCCCCTTTCCAGCGGTCCTTCCCTCCGTTTTCCCCCCTTGTCCCTCCCTGCCTTTCCCCGTGTGCTTCCCTCCATTTCCCCCCAAGTCTCTCCCTCCCTTCCCCTCATGCCCTTCCCTCTGTTTCGGCCAATGTCCCCCCTCCCTTTCCCCCATGTCCTTCCCTCCGTTTCCCTTTGCACGCCCATCTTTTCCCCCCTGGTCTGCCCCTCCGTTTTTTCCTCTCCCGCTCATCCTTCCGCCCTTGTCCTACCCTCTGTTGCCCTCTCCCCCATGCCCCATGCCCCATGCCCCACACCTCATACCTAATGCCCCATACCCAATGCCCATGTCCCATACCCCATGCCCCATTCCCCATGCCCCATGCCCCATGCCTCATGCCCCATACCCCATAACCCATGCCTCATACCCCATGCCCCATGCCCCATGACCCATGCCTCATAACCCATGCCCCATACCCCATGCCCCATAACCCATGCCCCATAACCCATGCCCCATAACCCGTGCCCCATACCCCATACCCCATTCCCCATGCCCCATACCCCATACCCCATGCCCCATACCCCATACCCCATGCCCCATACTCCATAACCCATGCCCCATATGTCAGAATGTTGTATTTGTCTAGCCTACAGTGGGGTACTCTATAGCGAGTACAGCCCAATCTAGGGTTTGCTATTTGTATCTCAACTGCTGCTAGTCCAAACCCTCTTTCTGCTTCTAAACTTTCTCCTACTACTTCTGACATGCTATCAGAGCAGGTCGACCCCCTTGGGTCGATCCTGTGGGTGGGCCCACCACCTAATGCTTCCGCTGCTGTTCTACTTGTCGCGCGCCTCGGTCGCGCGACGCCTCCTTCCTGCCGTACGCTCGGGGCGTGCGGCGGTTTTCTGCCTGCCGTGCGCCCCGAGGCGCGCGGCGGTTTCCCACCGTCGAAGTGCCCCCCGTCGCCCGTCGAAGCGCTCCCCCCCCCCCCCCCGTCGCCCGTCGAAGCGCCCCCCGTCGCCCGTCGAAGCGCCCCCCGTCGCCCGTCGAAACGTCCCCGTCGCCCGTCGAAGCGCCCCTGGGACCCGCGCGCGGCCCGTACGGGCTGCGCCAGGCCCGCGCGCGGCCCGTACGGGCTGCGCCAGGCCCGCGCGCGGCCCGGGCAGCCCGCGCGCGCCTCGTCCCGCCTGCGGCAGACCCGTGCGCGCGCCTCGTCCGTCCCCCAAGCTTCTGTCGGCGCCCCACCCCCGCTACTGCCCGCGTTCCTGTGTTAGGGTTTGGGGGTGGCGGGTGTGGGGGTGCCGGTTGTGTGCCCCGTCCCCTCCTTCTCCTCCTCCTCCGTCTCCCGCTGCTGCAGCTGCCGCTCAGGGGGGTGGGTGTGTGGGGAGCCGACGGAGTGGTACTAGGGGGGTGAAAGGGGAGTGGAGCTAGGGGCGAAGCAGGGGGTGTGTGTCGAGGGGTGTGGGACTGTTGGGGGAGGTTGAGCGGAGGCCGCCGTCGTGTCGTCTGCAGCGCCTGTATTCCGGGGTTCTGATAGCCACCGGTAGCTCAGAGAGCCGGTTGCACCTGTCGCCCGTGGGTCCGTTGCTCCTGTCGCTGCTGATCAGACGCAGAGCCTGTTACTCCTGTATTCCGGGGCCCTTGCTCCCGGTAGCCACTAGAGCTGCACCAGAGCCGTCTGTTGCCCGTGTGTCTGCAGCTTCAGTCGTCGCCTCCACTCTTCTCTCCTCTCGCCAGCCCTCCTCCTCCTCACTTGCCCTCTGTGACTGCCTCTAGCTTTGCTCATAAAATGTGAACTACTATTATGACTGCTTGTTGTG